TCCAATGAAGTGCGAAGACTTCTCCCACCGTCGAGAGGAAGCCCCAGGTACCCCGCTCCATCTAGCGGGTTTTTTTGACCGGTAAACTGCCCCTCACCATGTTTATTTGCTGGAGTGGCCTCTCCAGGGGCTAGTGTGGATATAAGAAAGAAGCCAGGGGGTGCCCAAGCAGCTGGCTTGTGAGACTGGTTTTCGTCTGGCCTCTACCCGTTGACTTTTCAGGCATAATTGGATCTCTGGCTGTGAAAAGCCATCCTGTGTAGCTCGCTGGGTCACTGAGGCGCGCAAGCCATCACACCACGTCAAGGTGCAGTCTCGTCGTGATGAAGAAAGCCATTAGGTAGAGTAGGTGTCACGCGCCTTCCAGATTTTAGTCTGATAGACTCCGCAACTGGTTGGTTGGAGACATTGAAGGGTATGTCAGCGAACGGACTGCAGTGGTGTTGTCATTTCTCATCAGTCCGGAATGCTTGAAACGGTGTGTATGCACAGTTCGATTGTGTACTCTGTGTGCGACCATATGGGTACACCTCCCTCCTTCAAAATAGGCCCAATCCATATCCACCTTAAATTTTACCACTAACCTTTATGCATTGCAAGTGTTGTAGTGATCCGTGAAGTTCGCCTCACTGTATTTCGCTTTGCGATGATGATGCGTTGGAATAACCGCATTAACACTAGGATAATTGAACTGGAACTGAAGCAGTCGTTCACCGTTGTCCGTCCGAAGGGCGGAAAGAGCTGAACGTACCCCCTTGGACAGGCTTCGGATGCGCTTGATTTTCCAACCCATGCGTTGAAATAAGCTATTAGCCACATGGAATCAGAGCTGCGACTAAACCGGATGAGTTCGGTGAGTTTGTTTTAAAATTCGTCCTTTTGAGAAGTGGGATTGCAGTTGGTTGATGCATATGCGGAAATGATGAATAAACACGTTTTTGTGTTGCTTCCCTTCTGAACACTAACTGAAGCCTGGAGCCTCATCGCGCTCGAACAACTGTTGACCGGTATCCAATGTGTCAGTGAGGCTTCAGTTTTACCGCTTGGTATGATTCCTACACCACCGTGAACCAGTGAGCGGGCTTCATCGTCTTCTGATGTATGCAGGAAATACCTCGAGGATAGACCCGGTGGAATAAGGTAGCTTATAATAATAGAATCCTGACTTCGTGTCTGATACTCAACATACACCAATTTCTAAAGACTTCATTGTACGCACAAAATACGTTTGTTGACCCACTTGGTGGTGGTGGTGCAGTGGTTTGGTCGCTGTCACAGGTGTGCTTTGAACCCTAAGGTCCGAGGTTCGAGCCCTGCCACCACCATCCAACTTTGGTGGTAGGCAGCTGTGCTGTTTTCCGGTTCCATACCACACCTACCCTATCGGTACTTAATGTGGTTCGTCACTCCAAGTCCCGGATTACCGGTCTCCATCACTGAACAGCAGGCCCTTGTGACAATAAGGCATTCCCCGTCTGCTGTTCATCAAACGAAAGCGTGTAATGAAAGAACCTACATCGGAGTCCACCCGTTGAAAGCCCCCAGATTGAAAGGCTGATAAGGCTTCAGAATATGCAATCTATTTAGTGGTAAACTACTCACAGGGTTATTTGGTAATGACCTTTGGCGAGTGACGAGCAGGTTGGTTGATGGAATGCTATCGGTCGGAAGACGAAGGTTTGGTATAAAAGACAGAGTTAAACAAAGGCTGGGATGTCCGAGCAGTGGCCCACTTGTCACTAACAGCCGCTCGCGATGCAATATTCAACGCGGTCCTGATTATCCTGTGCAATAACCGATACGGTGTGAAATTATTTTCACTCTGTCTTGGTCGACAGTTTTATTGTTTTATTTTTTTGCTTCAGCGAAATTCTGTTTGATCAGTTGATAATGGTATGTGCAAACGAAATGGAAACTAATTTGATTGAACGGTAAGGGTTCTTTGGATACTCTCTGCATATCACAGAAAAAACAAGTACAAATGGGCATTACTTGTTGGCGCAACAGTACTATCCGCGGTTGGTGGTTTACTGTTTGGCTATGACACTGGTGTCGTTTCAGGCGCAATAATTCAAATTCGTCACCAGTTTGCCTTGTCTTACTTTTACCAAGAGTTAATCGTATGTTACGTTTGATACCTTGTATTCCAAGTTTTATTTTAGATAAGTATAACTTTAGTTGCCGCGGCAGTCGCTGCCTTATGCAGTGCTGGTCTAACAGATTGGCTTGGCCGTAAACCGGTCATACTACTTGGCAGTGTGATTTTTGCGGCAGGTGCGATCGTGCTGGGTGTCGCACAAAACAAAGAAACACTCGTGATTGGCCGCCTTATTGTCGGCTTGGGAATTGGTAAGTTTATTAGATGTAACTACTCATTTTGTAGGAGTGGCCTCAATGACCGTTCCTGTGTATATTGCGGAAATCGCTCCTGGACATCTCAGGGGACCTTTGGTTACCTTAAACACTGTGTGTATCACCGGTGGTCAGTGTCTTGCAGGTATTGTGGACGGTATATTCATTGCTGATTCGAAAAATGGTTGGAGGTTAGTTTATCATGCTACTTTTCTCAAATTGAGTATGCATATACCCTATTTTACACTTATCGGGGTCCCAACAAATCACAATACAATCATCTATATAACAAGTTTGGTGATTTGCTTGTAGGCGGAAGACTGCCAGGTTACCCGGGCCAAGGCAAGTGAGTTTTCTTGACTGCCTAAAACCTGACCCACCAGGCCGCGGGGCGGTGTGTGAAAACCACAGTCCACTGGGAGGCTGCCGTCCAGTTCATCAGATCATACACAATTTCGATGGCGTCAAGCGTCTAAGTTGTCCGATGAACCTTGATGTCCAGTTCAGTTGGTGACTACTATCACCATCAAGATGTGTAGGTGGTTCGTATATTATACTTCCCAGCCGTCTGAGGCCAGACTGTTTGCCCAATAAATTTTAGTACAACAGTCTATAAAGAAGAAAAACGTTCCTTGACTCGCCTGTGGGCGGAATACTGTCAGGTTGCCCAGGCCAAGGCAGGTGCATTTTCTTGAGGGATCCACAACCGGAGCCTTCGACTAACCCAAGTCTGACCCAAAAGGTAGCGGGGCGGTGTGTGAAGACCGCAATCCATTAGGGGCCGGTGTCCAGCTCACCGGATCATACACCGATCGGAGTCAAACGTCCAAGGTGCTCAATACACCTCGTTGCCCAATCGAACCGGTGACCACTGACACAACTGACAAGGTGTTGGTTTGGAATCAGGGTTTTCGACCAACTCCCCTAAGTGAACTAACCGTGGTCCACCAACCCGCTTATAGCCCCGGATATTGGCTTTTCATCATCTCACCGCCACGAGAAGGCGTTGAGCGGGGCTTCCGCTAACCGGAAGTATGTGAGTTCAGTAACATCAGTAATTTATTGTACTTCAAGGGTATTCCCTTGGAAGGAGGTAAACCTATTACCGCTTCGCGGTCAGTTGAGTTAAAGACTCCTTCACTGTAAAAGTGGACTGCGACCGTTGGTCGATGGTGGATGTGACGCATCTGGATCAATACATCCGTAACCAGACCGGAATCCGGCTTCCTGTTCACGGATATTGGTGTCTCTTAAAGGAGTCAGACGTCGCAGTATGACGGAAGCTAATACTTTGGTGACGATCCCACGGTAACTTGCTCAGTCATTGAAAATGAGAACAATCAGTGATTCGCTCCAAGATGATGGAATGCGGTCAGGTTTTTTTTTCAGTAAATCATCAATAAAACTTAGAAGGTTATCACCTCTCACCTTAACAACAGTACGGGGTAGCCTGTCCGGTCATACCGCTTTTCGCGTAAGAGCTTGATTGTAGGATGAGATTTCTGCTTCTGCTGGGAGATCGCACGACACTACCCACGGAGCTTCGATTGCAGACGAGTTAATCTGGTTAGCCCTAGGCCGGTTAAGGCTTGGGCCCTGTTACTGAATACAATACCCACCACGGTTTAACCTACCGAACGGGTTTCGTCGTCACTGGAAGATTCACCTCCTGGACAAACCCTGGCTTGTAGAATCCTAGATTTGGGTCCCTGGGACGCAGCTAACACCGGTTTTAAGGATTCCGTTGTACGCGCCAGTCAAGCTTGCCGATTCACTTGCATTAGAGTCCTCACGTTGAGGATCCCCGGATTCAGTGATTGACGAGGCTTCGGAATTTGCGATGTACTTTGTCGTAGTCTAATTAAAGCGGTACTTGGGTACAGCCTTTGGCGAGCGACAATTCATTTGCTTGAGGCACTAATACAAGTCGGAGTCAGGGACAAGGGAAGAGGGCTGGTTACGGAGGACAAAGAGTTAAGCAAAGGTAATGTAAAATTATTTTTAGTTCGCGTATGCATTGAAGTTATATAGGCAGATACTGCTGGGGTGTCCAGCCACTAAGCGTCTGAAAGAAAACGCCTCACAGAAAGCCAGTAACCAAGGCTTTCTCAGAGGAAGCTGTTTGAGATACTTGATCGTATAGAAGTCTTTAGTGAGGAGCAAAGGAAGGATGACCCGAAACATCTACCTCTGACCGTACTGAGACTTTCGTAGATAAAGGTTGCAAAGGTCAATACCAGGAAAAATTGATACATTCGTTTCCGTGGTAAACCCCTTTCTGTAATTAGTCATATATATTGCGTTGTATTTGCATGAATATGAAGCACTGGAATAGTGTTTTTTGCCATCATCCGTTTGATTATTTTCAAAAAATTGAGAATTTTCATCTTCACCTTTTGAAGGTTTTGCATGTAATAATTTTGGTTCTTGCTCCGCAAAAAATGACTAATCTAGGGGTATTTGACAGATTCGTTGGGGACTCGCGGAATAGTTCCTAACGCCTATGCATCTCAACTCTGCGATGGTGGTTTCAGAATGACTTGAGACGTGAGTGTTACACATTTTTCCACAAAAACTGCCCATCTGCCCACGCCATTTTGGCCTGGGCAGGTGCGCTATTTTGGGACATGAAGCTTTAATTTTCGTGTGCTTGTCAGGCAGGCCGCTTAAAAAAAGGACAGATGGAGTCAGTGGTGGTGTATCGTACAGCTACCGCGGTTCATGTACGGCATCCGCTGCAACTGCTGATTGGTTGTCCGATGTTTAAATGACATAGCGACACTTGTATCTCGGACCTGATAACCATAGCTGGCGCAAGAGAGATTCATAAACAAAAAATGAGCCGGTGATTTGGTGCATCTCTCGAAGGGGCCAGTGAAGGTTCCTCAGCACCTGAGGTCAAGATGTAATGAAGCTGTCAGTTTTCTTCCTTCGGAGAGATTAGTCTCCGTCAAAGTACGCTCAATTGGTCTGTACCAATCTCTCCCTGGTACAATCGAATGATATTCCTCGAGCTCTCCATTAAGCAGCGATTATCCGGTTAGGGTTCCCAAAGAAAAACCCACGAATTCCCGCTGCCTTGCGGGTCAGAGTTTTGAGTCAAAGGCTTCGGGTAGGGTTCCCAAAGAAAAACCCCTTCGTCGGTGTGGGCT